GAGGTCGGTAAAATGAGGACCCAGATTGTTGGGAGCAATATGCTGACTCTGTAAACTGTTTAGAGAGGGCTGTAAAGCCCTATGAAGTAGGCTTCCTGATACAGTAGAAAGCACACGCTTAGTCCCCCAAACCCTCTTTTTATTTCAAAGGCTGTGAATTATGTTCATTCACAGCCTGTAATGAGTCACAAATAGTTTGTAAAGAGTCTGACAGTAGTCTGCCACAGTCCTTCAGGATAAGGCTGATAAGCACCCACCTGTATATTCCTTGAAATGCTGCCAAAGACCTAATTGGCAATTAGCTTGCAAGGCCACATGGAGCAAAGAGTCAAAATGGAGCTTCAGAATTTAAACTGACTAGAATGAACAAAGTTGCTTCCTGCAAAGGCTCACATTACTTTGCTCCTCCTTTATGTCATATGGGAGGGGCCAATCACTTCCAAGCCTTACTCCCGAGTTGTCCCTTTTGTCCTAACTGTTCTTGCCTTCTGGCAACTCTGTGCATGCGCGCACTGGGAACAGGCTCCCCCTGTTCCTCTGCCTCGTTGATGTCTGACTCTGGAGGCTCTGGAGGCAGCACATAACTCCCAGATGGCCCTGGCCCCCTCTCTGCCTCCAATGCAGAGCCTTCATCAGAGCCTTCCCCAGACTTCAGGACTGGCCCATGTTCCTCCACAACCTCCTCACTGTCCGACTCTGCTGCCAGCTCCGCAGGCCACTGTCGGACCACAACAGTCTAAGTGCTGTATAAGTCTAAGTGCTGCCACTATTGTTATTCTGCTTCCAAATCCGTCTTGGAAAGTGATACAAAACCTAGTTTAATCTTACCACTATCCTGTTTGGGTTTTATTCTAAAGGTGTTTTGTTTTTTGCACCATAGATCCCATTGTTTCCCATGAGTAATGCTCTCCCTCTCCAGCATGTGCCAGGGTTCTTCCTGTGTTGATTTATTTTGTATGGCATTAGCTAATGACAGCAGGAGTGCATACAATTCACAAAAACGGAATATAAAATGTGTGAATTATTACAGTGAGTTATTTTAAATTCCCACAATATGAATGATAAATAAAATTAAATTATGTATGAGCAGTTACTAGAGTGACTAAGTTTATGTCCTGATATCAAAATAGTTTAGCTGCTGGACAGCAGTGCGCTTGAGAGGGTGGAGTTCTTGCAGGGATCTGGGGCACCTTTTGAGGGGACATTCTGTTGCAATACGATGCAAAGTTTGCAGGACGGTCCCCGAGTCACACTATTATTTATTTATTTAAAGCTTTTATATGCTGCCCAATCCCAAAGAACTCTGGGTGGCTTACAAAGAAAATATAAAAAACATAAAAACAATACAATTTAAAACAACAGTCATCCCTCATAAATT